TCCGATCTCATTCCTGCGGATGGTCCAGACTCCAGAGATAGTGTTATTGGCCATCTGTCGCTTGTAGGAACGCATTGATCCTTAGAAGTTAGGTAGATGTAAAACTAACATTTTATAGTTCAGGGAAGTATGCTTAAAAAATAAAAACGTAAATCTATTAAATGACCGATTCTTCAACGTTATCTTTCTGTCTTTCTACACCTGAAGAGCTAAATTGATAACATTAATCCTTGAAAGATGGATACCACCATTTTCATACTTTATATATGAAATGAATTTTGCCCTTCACAGGGACCAAATAGGCATAAAGAAATTACTTCATTGATTGTCTTTTTAATCCTTCATGACCTAAATGGTGATTTCCAACCGGAACCGTTAATGTCTACCTAGTGATAGAAGATTGAAGTAATATACATATGATCTTAAGTTTAAATTGGTGTTGTTATTGTAATTTCGATAGATTAAAAAAAAAAAAAAACTGATGTAAACAACTTCAAATCTTTTTGTTTTAGTCCCTTAAAGATTTGACTATATAAGTGTGTGTGCAAAATACAAGTAGTCTATGGCTTCTACCAATCATTAGACTATATGTGTTTAATTCAACTTATATTTTTGAACATGAGACATTTCTACTAATTAATACTACCACTCAACTATTTCGCACTAGCAATACACTCCTTCAAACACATTTCTATTAATGGTTAAAATTCATTAGAAATTATAAAATTGTGAATAAGATTTATTAAATAATAAGTTAGATCAACAAAATTTTGTGATTTTCATTAAGTTGCAAACAATGATAAAAAGTGGGTTCAAAGAGTGTATTGCTAGCATTTTTCATTTTTTCAAACCTTGAATTTTCTCTGTATTTGATCAAACGGAAAAACAATTGAAATAAATTAAAGCAGACGGGTGTCTTTACAAGTGCAAGGTAAGAGTGTTTTCTAAAGGTTCAAGCAACCAAACATGAATTACCATTGTTTCAACTGTCATGTGAAAGGAGAAAATCATTATGAAGAGCAATAAAGGTCAAAACATAAGTCACAGCAGTAAAATATACATGAAGATGGATAGCCCCACCAATCAATTACCATACCATATCACATCTCGAGACATAATGCACTAAGATATCAACTATTACCTGACATATTTCTTCTAGTTCCAATTTAAGGTATGTGGAGATGCACCTGTATAACCATGACAGGAGAAATCACAGAACACACCATCGTCGCTTTATAGCAACATGTATAAGGGAAAAAGGAAAACACAAGAACACAAAAACTTAAAATTATTTTGGCCCCTTTTTACTCAACCACCACGTCAAATGAACCAAATTAGACCATAAATATCATAACAACATGTATATTTTAACAAAACATAGAACACTGGTAACTAGAGAACTAAGCATTACAATCATATATGGGTCCATGAGGGAATTTTTATTGTTATCAGAAGAACCCAGTCAAATAGGAAATTCAATGTTATGAGTGACACAGAATAGCACTAAGTTGAAAGCTGAGAGTCCCGTAATTTATACTTAAAGAGATCAAATAATTAGCTTTCTATGTAATCAAGTGGTATATAATTCAATAATCACAAGCTCTCATTCATTTATCTGCATGCCAACCCAATCCATGCTATTCAATCCCATTGATCAAGACTATCTATCATTCATGGAATAGCCTTTAAAATGTTTTCAGTTGGCAGTGCCTAAGGTCTTGAATTGGTTGCAGTCATGTGGTTTCTGATGTTACAGTAAATGAATGTGTCCGATACAATCGCAAAGAACTCCAAAACAATGATACTGCAGTTGCACACACCATGATTTAAAACCTTAGTAGTGTCGTATATGGCACACATTCAATGAGGCATATTAGATGCAAGCAGTGTACCAAATCAAGCCAAACTATTAGGAGTACAAGCATACACATGAAAAATAGAAGCCACAACACCGTCATCATCAGCATTTTTGAAATATTTTAGTCCTTTCTAATTCAATGACCATGACAAATGAACCAAACTAAACCATAAATATCACAACAAGAATGAGATACAGAGTACACAAAATACCAGAGCATCTACTAACTACAATCATACAAGGGTCCAAGAGGCAATTTTTATGGCCATCATAAGAACCCAAATGAAAAACAAAGAAGTAAGTAAAATGCTATGAATGAGATTGAGACAGAATAACAGCTAAGTTGAGAGCTGAGATTCCCATAATTCATGCTCCTCTCCATGTAATTACGCATTAAGAAAGCAGTTAATGCGTAACATGCATTTTGTTGCAGAAATAAGAATCAAAATCTTGCGATCAAAGAGTCGATTTCATTCAAAAGATTAAAAGCACATCAACGAACTACATCACGTGATTTACAAAAAATCCAAATTTAATTAAAAAAAAAACCTCTCGGATTAATTCATTCACTCCAGTACTTCTCATCACCCTCTTTATCCTCTCCCTGGTCACTCTCAGAACCATCCATCTTGAAACGCATGACATCCTCGAGGGCCGCATTGCGAAAGAGCCCCACATCGACGGCGCCACTGACCATGTGATACCCACGCGACCTCATATCCCTGGGCCCGTCGTAGGGCGTGGCGAAGCCGGCGAGGTAGGCCCCACCGGCAGGCGCAACGTCGTGGTTTCGGGTCTCCAAGACCTTCCTCTCGGCCTCCCAGAGAGTCTCCTTGACTCTCTTATTCCCGGGGTCCCACAGGTAGCCCAAGCTGGCGCTGAGATCCAAGGGCCCCATCTGCACGCAGTCCACGCCGTCAACGGCCGCGATCTCTCGCGCGTTGCGCACGCCCTCCTGGGACTCCACCTGGCACATCACCAGAAGCTCGTCCAGGTAGCTGCCGAGGTAGCCCTCGTCGAGGCCGTACTTGGAGGCGCGGACGATGGGGTGGGCGGCGCCGCGGACCCCGGAGGGGGGGAAGCGGCAGGAGGAGACGGCCAGGCGGGCGGACTCGGGGGTGTCGATCATGGGGAACATGAGGCCCTGGGGGCCCAGGTCGAGGGCTTTCTTGGCCCAGGTGGGGGAGGAGTCCGGGAGGCGGAGGATGGCGGCGGTGTTGGCGGCGGCGAGGGCGTGGAGGCAGGGGAGGGCGTGGGCGGTGGCGGCGGGGCCGTGCTCCATGTCGACGACCACGAAGTCGTAGCCGGCGAGGGCGGCGATCTCTGCGAGGGTGGGGGAGAAGGAGAGGAGGAAGAGGCCGTAGAGGGTTTCGCCGTTGCGGAGGCGTGACTTGAGGTTGAGGGGGGAGAGGGTGGAGGAGGAGGAAGAAGTGCGGGAGGATCTGGGAATGTTGGATTTGGAAATGCGAGGGGTGAGAGCTAGAGAATGGGGTTTTGGGAGGAGAAGGGTAGAGAAGGTGGTTCTTCTTGCTGGGGGGGACCAGATGGTGGTGCTGGTGGGGGTGATGCTGCTTATGCTTATGCTCATGCTCCCCATTCTTCTGTTGCTTACTCTACTCACTACTCACTCTACTCACTCTCAAATGATGCTCTATCAGTATAACCGTAGTTTTAAAAACCCGACCGGTTATCGATCCGGTTAAGATACTGACTCAGTGGATCAAAGATTGAAACGGTGGGTCACTAGTTAAATTGCATGACTTACACAATTTCATAAGTGCAAAATGGGTGAAGCTGCTAGGGTTGAAAACGCAACCTATAAAAGATTTTCCAGTAATGGTTGCAAGTGATAAGCCAATTGTGATAACTAGGAAGTGTGAGAAGTTAGAATGGAAATTTGGTGAACACTCTTTTGTTGCTGATTTTCTGGTACTACCTGGTTCAACTTTTGGTGCTATCCTAGGAATGCAATGGTTTAAAACTTTGGGTGAGATATACTGGAACTGTGCTAACTTGACAATGAGGTTTGTTCATAGAGGCAGCACTGTGACGTTGACAGGAGAACAACAAGCGAACATGTTAATAGACGACGTTGGGAAACTTAAAGCAATTAGTTTACAAGCAATGTTGCTTCCAATTCACGGACCACTTAGCTTTAGCATATCGGTTGCAGAAGATGACACAAAATTGGATTCAAGCCAGACTCTTGAGTTGGATGAACTTTTGCAGAAATATACTAAACTCTTTGTGGAACCTACTCAATTACCTCCAAAAAGAAGGTATGATCACAAAATCACCCTCGTTAATGATAATCCTATATGCCTGAAACCTTATAGGTATCCTCATACTCAAAAAGAGGAAATTGAACGACAAATTAAACACATGTTATCTACTGGCCTTATAAGAGAAAGTAGCAGCTCATTTGCTTCACCTCTGGTTCTTGTTAAAAAGAAGGATGCCACATGGAGGTGTTGTACTGATTTTCGCCGATTAAATGCTATGACTGTGAAAAACAAGTTGCCTATTCCACTTATTGAAGACCTTTTGGATGAGCTAAAAGGAGCAACATATTTCACGAAACTAGATATATATATATATATAAAAGGGAGATTATAATAATACCGGTGTAACTTATACAAAGTATTACACCGCTTAATAATTTTATATTAAATGTGAATTTTGTAATGGTTAAATTTACAAATTTCATAGTTAATATAAAATTATTAAGTAGTGTAATACTTATTAAAAATTACGGTGATGTCTCTGATAGTCAAATTTGATAAGTGGTCCATCCGTGTTGCATGTTTAGGTTTTAGGATGACCGTAGATATAATATTAAAATATTGAACGGTTGAGATTATGATGTAATGCGTAAGATTTAAGAATTGCAGAGTAGTCCCTGTAATTTTTATATTTGTGTGTGTTTTATAGGTTTATGAAGGGTTTTGGTGTTGTTTAGGGTTTTCCAACATCAGTTGATTTGTGATTCGGTTACTGTGTTGTTTTGGTTGTAGCAGTTCCGATTAGCAGGTGTGATAGGCGGCGTCGTCATTTTGTGGAGAGCATCTTCGAAATGGGCGTCCGGCGGCCCGTCCGTTGTTGTTGGTGGTAGTCCGCAACCGGTGCGAAGATTTGTTAGGTTTAACAGGTGAGCAATCAATTTTGTTTATTTTTGAAACCTAATGTGTCGCGTACAAATGGAAGCCGTTTTGGAGGTTAACGTTTTTTGTTTATTTTGCATTTGATTTTATATGTATGTGCAATTTTGTTGATACATCTGTTGCTGGTGTGTACAGTGAATAGAGAGATTAACTGTTGCGGAAGTCTTTTGAGTATTTAAGTTATATATATTATAAACAAATACATTAGAACAAATATTCATTGTTATATTTAATAAGAATCTTTGTTCTTCAATTAAGAGATTCAATTTTCATTATTATTTTTGTGATTTTTGGTCCCTTAAAAAAAATTTAAAAAAAAAAAGAAAAAATTGGTTGAACCGGTTTGACCCACCGTTTCACCGGTTGAACCGGAAAATTGACCGGTTCAATTCGATTTAAAACGGGTTGACTGCATAACCGATCCAACTTAAAATTCGGACCGGCTGGACCACCGGTTCCTGATCCGACCAACCGGTTCGATCCGGGTTTTTAAACACTGAGTATCACCATCTGTTGCCAATTTTGTCTTCTCAGATTTTATTATTATTTTATTTATAATACTTGTTTGTTTTATTAAAAGGAATCAATTTGAATGGACTTTGAGCTAAAATTTCAATTGATCTAAATAATGAATGGCTACTTTTTTTAATTAACATTCAATATTATCTTCGATTTTGAAGAGATAGATGAGTTTTTTTTTAATAATTATAAGTAACAATATATATATATATATATATATATATAACTCATATTCATATTCATTATAAATAATAATTAGTGACTCAGTCAATAGATATCAATATTAACTATCATTATTACCATTTACATTTTTATTGTGTATTATCTTTTTTTTGTGTAATTATTTAATTATTACATGTACTTTTCTTTTTGAAAAAAAAGGTAGATATGTTATAGCATCACTATGCGAAGGAGGTTCTTAACTAGGTTAGTAGCGCGCAACGCACCAATCATGTGCTCTACATCAAGAATGGCTAAAATTAAAAAGAAAGGTAAAAGTACAAGGTGGGGGGACCACACCAAAACCCACGAAAAAGAAAATAAAAGTTATAAAAGTAATGCTAACAATACCAAACAAGTGGCATAGTCAAAACCGTATCATCTAAACTATATACATAAACCCCCTAAATCTCCAAAGACAATTTAGGAGAGCTTAGAATTTTTGGCAGCCTTTGTTCTAGACCGCAGCTTATAGGCATTATATTTCTGTTGTGCTTCAACAATCTCATTGACCTTCCAGAACTTCAGAGCATTGGGGTCGTAGTAAGGATTGCGTGGGGGAGGGCCATCCTCACTGGAATCAGAATCAGTCTATGGATCCTTTTCCACCCTACAACTTTGGTTGTTGGATAAATCCTCCAAGGTTGGCATGCCTGCTAGAGACTCATCTACATGTCTGACTGCAACTGATAAAATAGTTGATGCATCAGCACAACCAAAAGTTATAGCAACTGCTACATTCGGCCCAACTGGTGCAGATACACATTTCTGTATATCAGAAGCAAATGCTGCATCCGCATTACAATTCGCAGTTGCTAAATGAGCAGCTACTCCAACATCCTTGATCACAGGAGCAATAGCAGCTGCATTCTCCAAGACTGACCCTGGCTGCACCGTTAAGCATGGCTGGACTGGGACAAAATTAGCAACTGAGTCACCTACTGCATGATCAAGAGCCAAATTTGACACAGCTGCTGCACCAACATTAAGGGTCACAATTGCAGCAACTGGTGCATTTTATATAGCTACTACTGAAACCAAAACAGTAGCTGAATCACTTGCTGCATGATCAGAACGAGCACCGACTAACTGAAATGAACTAGCACCCATTTCTGATTTAGAGACCGAATTCAATTCCGTCACAAATTTTAACTAATATTTAACGACCGAATTTAATTCCGTCGCTAAAAAAATCAAAATTTCTGATTTAGCGACCGAATTAAATTCCGTCGCTAAAAAATCAAAATTTATAATTTAGCGACCGAATACAATTTCGTCGCTAAATGTAACTACTATTTAGCGACCGAATTCAATTCTGTCGCTAATTTTAACTATTATTTAGCGACCGCTTTATACCTTTAACTTTCAATTTTCTACTTTTTTCTTTTTTTTTTCACATACTTTTTTTTTCTCTTTCAATTTTTTTACATGCTACCAAAATAGGTGGGGTGAAGGAAAGATAGCGGGGTGTATGTAAAAATTGAAAAAAGAAAAAAAGAAGAAAAAAGAAAGATCTGTAAAAAAAGTACTAAATTAAATGTTGTGAATGTAAAATTAAAAAAAAAAAGCAAAAAATTAAGAATATTTTAAAATTTTAATTATTTTTTTTGAAAAGGAGGTGTACTTATAAGAAAAAGGAAGTGTATATATCATCAACCTTTGAAAAACACTTTCCAGAATAATTTTTTTTTTTATTCCAAATAATATTAAGGATAATTTAGGAATTTAATATTTTTTTTAAAAAGGGGGTGTATGTATAAAAAAATGGAGGTGTATATATCATCAACCTACCCTAAAACCCTTGGCCCAATTGGCACGTTTGAAGCAACAATAGGGATTTGTCCATACTAAAGAATGCTATGAAATGTGGCAGTAACTAAGGATGCAGTCACTAGAGTCGTCTCAAGAGAAGTGTAGAACTGCTCCAAAATCATATTAACAAAGGTAATTATTTTGTATAGGCAGCAATAAATAAAACTAACAAATTTACTATTATCAATGTTATATTAACTGGAAAAATATGAAGACTTTACTATATATAAACGCAACTGAAAAGGAAATTTTAAACCAAGATAGATGTAGTTTAGTATGTGTATAGAAATAATTGAACCCAATGAGTTATATAAAATAGTGTAGATCACCAGTTAAAAAATATAAAAATTCATTTAAAAATAAAGTTATCATAAGTCAGAAATATATATTATAAATATGGATCAAAAATAAATAAGAAATTTTAAAATTCATATACTCTAATTAAAAAACTGCCTAAAAATCCAATCGTAAAAAAAAACCTCTAAATATTTTTTCACATAAATAACTATTGGTATTAATTATGTAGGAGTGCATATAAATATATTTTTTAATATAAATTAATGTCTTGCTCTTACAAAAAAAAGAAAATGGGATCGATACTCAACAAAAATATTATCATCACTTTTAAGCAATTTATAAATTTTTTTAAGTTTTACTTAGTGACCAAATAGAATTTCATCGCTAACTTTAACTAATATTTAGCTACCGAATAGAATTCCGTTGCTAATTTTAACTAATATTTAGCAACCGAATAGAACTACATCGCTAATTGTAACTAATATTTAACGATTGAATTTAATTATGTCGCTAAAAAAATCAAAATTTCTGATTTAGAGACCGAATTCAATTCCGTCACAAATTTTAACTAATATTTAACGACCGAATTTAATTCCGTCGCTAAAAAAATCAAAATTTCTGATTTAGCGACCGAATTAA